AAGAGAGAGAATTTATGGATGTTTCAGAGTATATGCTTACTCCTTCATTAAATCAAAGAGAGAATTGATGGATGTTTCTGAGTATATGCTTACTCCTTCATTAAACCAAAGAGAGAGAATTGATGGATGTTTCTGAGTATATGCTTACTCCTTCATTAAACCAAAGAGAGAGAATTGATGGATGTTTCGGAGTATATGCTTACGCCTTCATTAAACTGAAGAGAGAGAATTTATGGATGTTTCGGGGTATATGCTTACTCTTTTATTAAACTGAAGAGAGAGAATTTATGGATGTTTCGGAGTATATGCTTACTCCTTCATTAAATCGAAAAGAGTGAATTTATGGATGTTTCGGAGTATATGCTTACGCCTTCATTAAACTGAAGAGAGAGAATTTATGGATGTTTCGGGGTATATGCTTACTCTTTTATTAAACTGAAGAGAGAGAATTTATGGATGTTTCGGAGTTTATGCTTACTCCTTCATTAAACCGAAGAGAGAGAATTTATGGATGTTTCAGAGTATATGCTTACTCCTTCATTAAATCGAAAAGAGTGAATTTATGGAGAGAGAAATTATGAGGAACAACATTTCAGAGTATATGCTGACTCCTTCATCAGTTTCATAAAGGAGTAAGCATATACTCTGAAACATTGTGTTCCTCACAAAAAAGAAGTTGACATCCATAAATTCTCTCTCTTCATTAAAAATGTTTAATATTAAAACAACAACACATGCAGTTAATGGATCGGTGTGCACTAACATTTCATACTGAACTTCCTTGGGAGTATACAATCCAAGCTGCCTTTCGGCACCACGCTGTTTGAATTCACATTAACAACTGATCCTACCGGGTACCCATTCACTGCTGGGTGAACAGAGGCTTTTTGAAACACTTGTAATTGAGCACTATGGAGCACCATATGTTTTAGAAGCAATCATTCAGTTTGACGATATGGCTGAAATATTGCCGATGTGATGTTAAATTTTAACTCACTCACTCATTCAGTTTGAGGTGAGGCAGGACCAAAGCACTGGTAACTCTCAGAAATCAAACCTTCAAAGCATCAACACTTAATCGCATCAAAATGAGATATTTTGCTCTGAAACAATATTTCTCTGCTTGAAGAGTCTGACCCAGACAATCTAGTGATTGAAAATGTCAGCGACAATCCATGCTGTCATGATGTGAGGACACGCAATCAACTAGTGCTGGCTACCAATACAGATCACAGATACAATAATCGTTAACTAAATATCGATCAATTATAGATAAATATCAAAGAAGTAACTTCTGAGCAAATACGCAAAAGAAATTCCGAAAGAAATCAATATATTTCACTCCATGTTGAGTGGTGGCACATTTACGCATTGATTACTTTGTGGACTTTAAGATATAACAAAAACAGTTATTTTCTGTCTTCAGCAATATGTATCCTTGTACAAAATGTAAATATTTTCTCATTTTCATAATAATCATCATGATCAGCATGAGGTAAATCAAGGCCATTGCAAACATATAACAGCATTCTGCAAATAAATAATTCAAATCAAGAACCCAAGAGCACCAAACAACTCAAGGTTAAAACAACAAGCTGTTTCTGATTACACAAAGTCACTACATTATTGTTATATTCATTTATAAATTGAATAACGAATATATCAAAAATTATAACCCCCAAGGTTACATGATCAATGGTTCTCTTTAAAGCAACAACACCCCTTCAAAATATGCCCCAAAAGCAATAATAATTCAACGATGAGTTCTCCAAGTTTGGCATATTTCATTGACTCTTTTCAGGAACGTTTTTTTTAAGAATCCAGATTTTCAAACAGAAGTCAACACGGTCAATGAAACTTGTACCCATTCTTTAACAAACCTTTAGCCCTAGGATTCATGTGATAACATATTATTTCAACACACAATCAGACTGGTCAATGCTTGAACCTGATTGGTCAATGCTCGACTCAGATTGGTCAATGCTCGATGCCGATTGGTCGTGCTCCACTCCGATTGGTCAATGCTCGACTCTGACTGGTAAATGCTTGACTCCGATTGGTCATAGCTCGACTCCAACTGGTCAATGCTCCACTTTGGCCGGCCTTAATGTGTAATTTAAAATTTCCTAGGATTCCGGTTTACCCCCACAACCAAACAAAAAATGTCCCACCTGCTTGAAGGAAGCCATCAAGTTATTTCTGGAACTTTCAGAAATTGTAACGTGATTTTTTGGCAAACACCTCTTTAAACCCGAGGCTATAATAATCAGCTGACTGTCACAGGTCGAAACCTCAGGTAACAGGTTGGCCTCCAGGCAAGGGATTATTTGAGAGTTTGATGACAAGGCCAAAGTAAAGAAATTTTTAGGTTTTCATTGACAGTTTTTTCTTAGATGTTGGGAAGAAGGCATTTTATTTTTTTAAGTATTTTTAATTTGCGGACAATAAAATTATGTGTTTGGAATGGAGTACAAAGGGGATAAAAGTCTAATAATTAATTTATCATGGCCTTCGACCTTAGCTTTGATATATACTACTCAAAAGAAGTTAAAGAAAATATGATTCTTTCATTGTATATATTTATTCAGTCATAGCATGACAGATAAACTAGAGTAGTACGAAATATCGGGTGTTCTTTAATTTCTTTTGGGTAGTATATTTGGCAACAAATAGAAGTTTATTACCAACTTCATGTGTTCTTGTGAGAAAACTTGATTATAAAACAATCGTTTGGAATGGTTGGATCAAGGATGTCTTGAGAAATAAGAATACGTTTTTAGAAAGTCCTTTTTTATCAATCCCAAATTGAATATAAAGATATGCCATTCTGCTTGGCGGAAGTGAGACTGTTATAATTTATATATTGTTTGGTCAATTATGTTATTTAATGCCACAATATTCCATCGATATGACAGCCGCCTGCAAATGTATATATTATGAGTGTGATTGGTATTACCGACCTCTTTCTTCAGAATCTTTTTTCTGATCCTCAAAATTCGGCTTATCCGCGGTCATATACGGTATGAACAACACCAATTATTGCCAGGGTATGACGACATGCAATAAACCGAGACTGACCCCCCTCCCCCGATCCCTTTTGTCGCCTCTTAGGGATGGGACGTGAAACTTGGATACATGGGTTGATTGGTATGCCCTGGACCGTTGTTAGTCACGTGATATACGTGTATTATGTAATGACAAATATTATCTAGAACTCTATGGTTACACTACAAGTCACTAATGTTCGCATTTCATTCTGACTATGAAAAAAATTCCTTCTGGCTTTTATATGATTGAATAAAGATAAAACTTCAGTCAACTTCAGTGTTTGCATGACCAGATCGTTTTATACCAGTGTCTAAAGACACATTTTGCCAGGGCTACAGTCAAACCTTCCCCAATCGGACAGTTGGTACCTGTCTCTTGAGACCTATACAGCTGGTAGCGGGGGCTGGGTGGGGGGATGGGGGGGTGGTGGTGGTTGTGTAATAGGGGTGGGTACCTGGGTAGGAAATTTGGACTCGTCCCAGCCCTATCACCTCTTCTGACCAGTATAGTTTGCTTGGGACAAATTTGAACCCATAAGCCCATGGGTACTTTATGTTACATATAAAACGTTTGTAATGTAGATTGATCTGGAAGATTCAATAGCGAATGAGTGAGTGAGTATAACAGCATTCATTAATATCAGGGCATGTCAAGTTAATGTGGGTTTCACCACACTGGCAAAACCTGCATCACTTGAGGCTTTCCTCCCACATTAAGCTGACATGCCATGAGGTAACTTGAATACTGTTAAAAGTGGCTTAAACTAAACTAACTCATGACATCCATAAGATTGGAATATCCATCAGTAATGACAATAAGATCGTCATATCTAAACATTTGCAGGATCTGAGTGAGTATGGTTTTACACAGCTTAAAGCAATATTCCAGCAATAGCATGGCGGGGGACACCAGAAATGGGCTTCACACTACACCCATGTTGGGAATCAAACCTGGGTCGCCCCGATTATGTTTCTAGGTTTGTCAGCACCATATCCGTGCTCGCGGGTTTCACCGAAGTGGTAAACGTCTCAGACCTGCATCACTTCGGGCTTTCCTCCCCCATTAAGCTGACACACCGTGATATAACTGGAATACTGTTAAAAGCAGCTATACCAACTCACTCACTGACTTTTAGAAATATTCCAGCAATAGCACAGCGGGGGACACCAGAAATGGGTTTCACACACTGCACCCATGTCGGAAATCGAACCCGGGTCCTCGGTGTGACAAGAGAAAGCTTTAACCACTAGGCTACCTGACTGCCCCTGCAGTATCTGGGTCATATCAAGGAACTTGTGTTGATTCTTATCACTATGGAAGGAGTAATTATCTCGTTTGATTAAAAAGAGGAATGGTAAATTGGTAAGGCAATATATATTGGTATATAGCAACAGTATCACACAACAACACAGATACTGTTGTTTCAAAGCTTAAAGACTTTCCACCTTCGACTCTTAATTACTTTGGACTGCCACCGTGGTCTAGTGGTAGAGCGTCTGCCCAGAGAGCGGAAGGTCCGGGGTTCAATCCCCAGCCGCGTCATACCAAAAGAAGTTAAAATATGGTATTTGGTGTTACCCTGTCTGGCACTCGGCATTTAGGGGCTAAAACAAGGACTGGTCGGCTCTGAGTCAGTATACTGTGTCTGAGTGGGGTATTCATGTTAAACCACGGCATGGTATCTCAGTGGGCTAACACTATAAATCGGCATGAGTCCGGACTAGTACAAGCAGCCACACACACACAAGTGCATGCCTGTCGCTATATAAGTGCAATAATCTTGGACGCGACATTAAACCCCTATTTCACCTCACCTCTTAATTACTTGGAACGTTCAAATCATGTACTTTGTACTGACTTCAGTAAACAAACTTAAAATATCTTGCCCTTGTGTTAAGTCAGGGCAATGTTGACGGAACACCAAGCGACAGATTTGCTGAACAAACACTCACCTCTTGTCCGGAGATTACCGAAGTTTCATATGTCCTTGCTCAGCATATTGACCCTGAGTGCACATTACGCTGAGGTTGACGATTGTGTGCCAACTGCATTTGCAATCTGCTAAAACAATTGTTTTGTAACAGTCATCACTGGAATGGAATGCACAGCTTTACAAAAGGGGCTTGGACTTGTGACGTCATGGTTTATAATATGAAACTGGTTTCAGAGATAATTAATTACAGATCAAACAAATTACAGATCAAACATATTAAATTCAGTCAAGTACAAATGAAGCTAAAATTACAAAGAGAAGGCTTTTATGGATTTAACACATCATCAATTAGACAACCTATCAGACATGCATCCATCAACCCATCCAACAGACCATCTATTAGACCATCCATCAACCCATGCATTAGACCACTTATCAGATCATCCATCAGACCATCTATTAGGCCATCCATCAACCCATGCATTAGACGACCTATCAGATCGTCCATCCATTTTCTGTCCACTGACAATTGTGTGTTCTATCCACTGACAAGTGTGTATTCTATCCATTGACAGGTGTGTATTCTATCCACTGACAAGTGTGTGTTCTATCCACTGACAGGTGTGTATTCTATCCACTGACAAGTGTGTATTCTATCCACTGACAAGTTTGTATTCTTCCACTGACAAGTGTGTATTCTATCCACTGACAAGTGTGTGTTCTATCCACTGACAAGTGTGTATTCTATCCACTGACAGGTGTGTATTCTAGCCACTGACAGGTGTGTATTCTATCCACTGACAAGTGTGTATTCTATCCACTGACAGGTGTGTATTCTATCCACTGACAAGTGTGTATTCTATCCACTGACAAGTTTGTATTCTATCCACTGACAAGTGTGTATTCTATCCACTGACAAGTGTGTATTCTATCCACTGACAGGTGTGTATTCTATCCACTGACAAGTGTGTATTCTATCCACTGACAAGTGTGTATTCTATCCACTGACAGGTGTGTATTCTATCCACTGACAGGTGTGTATTCTATCCAGTGACAAGTGTGTATTCTATCCACTGACAAGTGTGTATTCTATCCACTGACAGGTGTGTATTCTATCCACTGACAAGTGTGTATTCTATCCACTGACAAGTGTGCATTCTATCCACTGACAAGTGTGTATTCTATCCACTGACAAGTGTGTGTTCTATCCACTGACAAGTGTGTATTCTATCCACTGACAAGTGTGTATTCTATCCACTGACAAGTGTGTATTCTATCCACTGACAAGTGTGCATTCTATCCAGTGACAAGTGTGTATTCTATCCACTGACAAGTGTGTGTTCTATGCACTGACAAGTGTGTATTCTATCCACTGACAAGTGTGTATTCTATGCACTGACAAGTGTGTATTCTATCCACTGATAAGTGTGTGTTCTGTCCACTGACAAGTGTGTATTCTATGCACTGACAAGTGTGTATTCTATCCACTGATAAGTGTGTGTTCTATCCACTGACAAGTGTGTGTTCTATCCACTGACAAGTGTGTGTTCTATCAACTGACAAGTGTGTATTCTTCCACTGACAAGTGTGTATTCTATCCACTGACAAGTGTGTGTTCTATCCACTGACAAGTGTGTATTCTAGCCACTGACAAGTGTGTATTCTATCCACTGACAAGTGTGTGTTCTATCCACTGACAAGTGTGTATTCTAGCCACTGACAAGTGTGTATTCTAGCCACTGACAAGTGTGCATTCTAGCCACTGACAAGTGTGTATTCTAGCCACTGACAAGTGTGCATTCTATCCACTGACAAGTATGTATTCTAGCCACTGACAAGTGTGTATTCTATCCACTGACAAGTGTGTATTCTAGCCACTGACTAGTGTGTATTCTAGCCACTGACTAGTGTGTATCCTATTCTCCCAGGCTCTGCACAGTGACAGTTGTTCCCAACTGAGAACATAACCAATGCCCCATCCACTTCTCAATGGAGCCTTTGTCGTCTATGTGCAGCTACAGCCTAAAACTTACATATTAATTCTTTTTTGCGTTATTGTTCAAATAATCTATTTTTAGCCAATAGTTGTGGTGGGGCTGTCCTTTCAATTCAAGCCCATGCATGTTTTCACAAACCGTACGGTAATAAATCGCTTGATATGGATTGGATTTCTAACATCAAGTAGAATTATATAAAAATGTTTCTAATCTTGTTCGCTTAAACTGGCAGCAGATTTCACTTCAAACCATGTCTCTGATGATTGCTTCTCTGATATTTAAACTGATTGGAACATTATTTCAAACCCAAAATTGTAAATCAGTCTATTTATTTTGTTAACACCAACAACTGATTTCCTGGAAATACCTTCTCCAAATTATCAAACAACATTTATCCCTTCAAGGCATGACAGAATACTCGACCACAAAACCCCTTGTCCAAACTGAGCACACCATGCTGAAGTTTATTCCAGCCCCTAAAAAGATTTGTCCCTCGCGTTAAATAAAACTGTGGCATTATTCTTTGGTGACGTCATGGACAATGCCTGTTATCTTAAACTGCCCCTATTTGTATTACAAAACACAGAAAACAAAAGCATCATGGGAATTTGCAGTGTCATTAACAGTTGCAATGTACACAATTCTACGTTGTTTTCTTTACAAAAACCCACATCCTGCACTAAACAGGATGCATCTGTGAAATGAAAAATTATAAATTGACGATTCTTTCATTTATACACTCATTTTTTAACATCAAACACTTCTGTAATTGTGTTGGACTGAAAAGTATTACATTGTGAAAGATGTTTCTGAAATCAATTCATTAAGAAGAAGTTACCACCAAACATGTAATCAATTGATGTCAAGCTTTTGACTGACTGTGTTGAAAGTGAGTGTGTGAATATTGTTTCCCAATGCAGCTGTGATAATCCAGCTTTATCACGCCAGGCTGTGAATAATCCAGCTTTATCACGCCAGGCTGTGAATAATCCAGCTTTATCACGCCAGGCTGTGAATAATCCAGCTTCATCATGCCAGGCTATGAATAATCAAGCTTTATCATGCCAGGTTGTGATAATCCAGCTTTATCATGCCAGGCTGTGAATAATCCAGCTTTATCAAACCAGGCTGTGAATAATCCAGCTTCATCACGCCAGGCTATGAATAATCAAGCTTTATCATGCCAGGTTGTGATAATCCAGCTTTATCATGCCACATTGTGAAAAATCCAGCTTTATCATGCCAGGCTGTGATAATCCAGCTTTATCATGCCAGGTTGTGAATAATCCAGCTTTATCAAGCCAGGCTGTGAATTATCCAGTTTTATCACACCAGGCTATGAATAATCCAGCTTTATCATGCCAGGCTGTGAATAATCCAGCTTTATCATGCCAGGCTGTGATAATCCAGCTTTATCATACCAGGTTGTGAATAATCCAGCTTTATCAAGCCAGGCTGTGAATTATCCAGCTTTATCACACCAGGCTATGAATAATCCAGCTTTATCATGCCAGGCTGTGAATTATCCAGTTTTATCACACCAGGCTATGAATAATCCAGCTTTATCATGCCAGGCTGTGAATAATCCATCTTTATCATGCCAGGCTGTGATAATCGAGCTTTATCATGCCAGGCTGTGAATAATCCAGCTTTATCACTTCAGTGAGTGAGTGTGTGAATATTGTTTCCCAATGCAGCTGTGATAATCCACCTTTATCACGCCAGAATGTGAAAAATCCAGCTTTATCACGCCAGGTTGTGAATAATCCATCTTTATCATGCCAGGCTGTGAAAAATCCAGTTTTATCAAGCCAGGCTGTGAATTTTCCAGTTTTATCACACCAGGCTATGAATAATCCATCTTTATCATGCCAGGCTGTGAATAATCCAGCTTTATCACGCCAGGCTATGAATAATCAAGCTTTATCACTTCAGTCCAGGCTGTGAATAATCCAGCTTTATCATGCCAGGCTGTGATAATTCTGCTGTATCACTCCAGGTTGTGAATAATCCAGCTTTATCACACCAGGCTGTGAATAATCAAGCTTAATCACGCCAGGCTGTAAATAATCCAGCTTCATCATGCCAGTCTGAATAATCCAGCTTTATCATGCCAGGCTGTGAATAATCCAGCTTTATCATGCCAGGCTGTGAATAATCCAGCTTTATCACGCCAGGCTGTAAATAATCCAGCTTTATCACGCCAGGCTGTAAATAATCCAGCTTTATCATGCCAGGCTGTAAATAATACAGCTTTATCACGCCAGACTGTAAATAATCCAGCTTTATCAGGCCAGGCTGTGAATAATCCAGCTTTATCATGCCAGGCTGTATATAATCCAGCTTTATCACTCCAGGCTGTGAATTATCCAGTTTTAGTACACCTGGCTGTGAATAATCCAGCTTTATCATGCCAGGCTGTGAATAATCCAGTTTTATCATGCCAGGCTGTGATAATCCAGCTTTATCACTTCAGTCCAGGCTGTGAATAATCCAGCTTTATCATGCCAGGCTGTATATAATCCAGCTTTATCACTCCAGGCTGTGAATAATCCAGCTTTATCATGCCAGGCTGTGATAATCCAGCTTTATCACGCCAGGCTGTGAATAATCCCGCTTTATCATGCAAGGCTGTAAATAATCCAGCTTTATCATGCTAGGCTGTAAATAATCCAGCTTTATCACGCCAGGCTGTGAATAATCCCGCTTTATCATGCAAGGCTGTAAATAATCCAGCTTTATCATGCTAGGCTGTAAATAATCCAGCTTTATCATGCCAGGCTGTGAATAATCCAGCTTTATCATGCCAGGCTGTGAATAATCCAGCTTTATCATGCCAGGCTGTGAATAATCCAGCTTTATCATGCCAGGCTGTGAATAATCCAGCTTTATCATGCTAGGCTGTAAATAATCCAGCTTTATCATGCCAGGCTGTGAATAATCCAGCTTTATCACGCCAGGCTGTGAATAATCCAGCTTTATCATGCCAGGCTGTGAATAATCCAGCTTTATCACGCCAGGCTGTAAATAATCCAGCTTTATCATGCCAGGCGGTAAATAATCCAGCTTTATCATGCCAGGCTGTAAATAATACAGCTTTATCATGCCAGGCTGTAAATAATACAGCT